AAACTGTGCATTCCATTCACTACACAACGTGCCAATACCAGGACATGAAGGCTGATATGTATGTATATGTGTAATTTTTTTACACCTCCAAGTTATCCAAATCAATATACCATTCCAGTCAGTGGGATATTTTCCCAAAGTTGTTACTATAACCAAAATAAGCTAAAGCCAAATTCTGAGAGCATAAAGCAGGTTTTCTTGGGCTTTTCCATTTGTCCTCCCTCCCAGTCTGTTCCTGACTGCTGCTGATCAGTGTCTGCAGAGACCCTGCCTTGTCAAACTGAGATGAACTCTGACACAGCGCCCCTTCAGTTCCTGGCACGGAGGCTGGCCAACTAGGCACCGCCACCTCACGCAGGCCCAACTACCTAGAGAACACGGATTCATTCATAGTTCAAATCACAGCATCTCCAGTATGTCTGTGTGAGCCAGGTTAGGGCAAAAAGCACTTTTATCCAGTTGGTCCTATGAAGGAATTAGTCCTCTCACTGTCTAGAAAAAAGAAAGGAGGAAGTTAAAAGCAGAAGAGTTTTTATCTTTTCAATTCCCCTGCTGACAGTCTTGCCAGTGGGGATGGAACCCTGCAAAACATCCAAAAGTCTAAATATCTGTCAAAAATACTTTTGTGTACTATAACAATTTTCTTTATTGCCAATCTCATGTCTGCTAATGTAGGCTACAGGTTACCGAGTATCACCACTGTGCCTAAAACACGTATGTACGTGTTCAATACATATTTGCTGAATTAATGAGCAATAAATGAGGATCCTGAAGGGCTACCACAAATACTGAGAGATAAAAAATAACATAGCAGAGTCAAAATAATTACTCACCAAATACATAAAGTAACTCTGCATTAAAAAAATCTCAGAGGAATCAACAAAGGTTGACAAAGTGAGCATTCATCTTCTGTGTATTTCAAGTACAAAGTAATCTTACCCAGATTCACTACCAGTATTTTTCAAAAAGCATCAGGTACCTATAGTCTCACTCCTCACAACCTCAAAAATGTGTCCTAGATGCTAAATATTAAAGCACAAGTAATCACTTAAGTTAAAATTAGGGCAAAATAAATCCCCATCATCCTATCAATCCTATTCAAAACTAACCCTGAAACATGCCACATACTGCTGCCTATCTTTCCCCATAAAGGACAGGAAATCTCACCCCCAAAAACACCGCAGATACTGCCAAAACTCAGACGAAGGGCCCTGGCTGGTGTGTGGCTCAATGGCTGAGTGCCGGCCTTTGAATCAAAGGGCCTTTGAGGGTTCAATTCCCAGTCTAGGGCGCATGCCTGGATTACAGGCCAGGTCCGCAGTAGCGAGTGCGTGGGAGGCAACCACACACTGATGTTTGTCTCCCTCTTTGTCTCCCTTCCTCCCCCTAAAGGATAAATAAATAAAATCTTTAAAAAAACAAACAAACTCAGATGAAAGACCAGAGTTCTTATATCGGAGTTACTGTGCCTAAGCCTGGTGGAACAAGAGAAAGGGGGCTTAAATTAGTACGTTACAGTACTTGTAGTCTTCCAGACCACAGAATGGGTTTAGTTGAAACAAGCCGTGGGAATCATCCAACCTTCCCCTGCTCACCGCTCCCGCCCCGCCCCTCGCCCCCGCCCCATCGTCCCCACCCCTCAGTCTTTAAAAAGCAAATGAATGAACTTTATGACCTTTTAAGGTAACTTTCTCTCCCAAGTTCCTGATTCCTCTTTGGAAAATTCAGAAGTCAAATTTACCGAATACCCATGTAATTCTCTTTGATTATATTTCAGTTACAGGTACAATAATGATGTTGATTAAATAGTAGCTAACATTTCTAAATCAACTGCTAGGTGCCAGAGTTCCATTACGTACATTAGCTTATTTAATCTTACTTCTTACTGTTTACAGAGAGGAAACTGAGGCTCAGAAGTTAACTTGCCCAAGGCCATACAAAACTGGGAAAGGGCAGGCCCGAGATCTCAATCCAGGCTACCTCAAGGAGGCTGGCTATCTGATAACAGAGCTGTTTGCATCAGATGAAAGGACAGAACCAATGTTTGGGCACTTACGGATACAAAAAGATCAGGTTCCCGCCTGTGGTCAGCAGATGCCAAGGTTAATTCCAGCGTAAAGTTCTTAGAGTGCCACCGGGACCACCTGTGTCTGAATGACTTGAGTGTCTGTTAACTTTGAGGGTGGAGCCCAGGAATGTGCCCCTCCCTCGGGGGATGTCACACCCACGAGAAAACTTAGAGAACCACTGCTGCACTACCAAGGCTGCTGCATCCCCCAGCAAAAACCACAGGGAACAGAGAACACAATGGCCGATAATGGGGCAGATTCCTGCTCTTTACCCTGTAATGATTTCCAGATTTATTTAGATGTTGGAACACCTGAAAGTTAAGTCGTTCTTGAAGTTCTAACAACTTCAAGTTGTTAGATGGAATTTAATTCCATCCAACTAGGCATAATTTTACTGTAGGAAAACATGAATACATTAATATAAACTTTAAAAATATATAACCATGTTTTCTGACAGTCAATGTCTCCACAGTAAAAAAAGACCATTTCTGGGCTTTTCACCAACATTAATTTGCTATGCCCATTTATTTTGTCCTGCTGTCAACCACCGATGAGGGCAAGCATAAACCAAAGGTCTGAAAATTCCAACCAATTATTTTTAAATCCCTGCAAAATTATGAAGTCTGGCACCTCCATGTCAAGTTTTCTCCAAAACTGAGCCTGAGTATCACTGCTTTAAAGTGCAATGTACCAGCCACCAGCCCCTAGCCACAGATCCTCTACAGCAGGATTTCTTACCTTGGGATCCATGAACTTGAGTTAAAAAGTTACATTCATATTCTCACTAACCCGTGGTTGAAATTTAGCATTTTCTTCTATTATAAATGGAGGCAGTTACAGCAGCATCATTCTGTGTCTTTGTCACAAATATAAATCACTGATTTTTTTCATATCACATTACAGTTGTTAAACATCTTTAAATGTTATTAAACCCTCATTACTACTTCAAAAGCACAGTAATAATTACATCAATTATGCAATTTAATGAGTTAATATACAAGTATACATATTATTAATATCACTTTTTAAAATGTTCTTGATAACTGTAGTTCAATGTAACTGGCTTCCTTCATAACCCTATGTACTTTATGTATTTGAAAATATAATTATGAAAAAAGGTCCACTGACTTCGATCACCAAAGGTGTCCAGGGTGTGTGCACACACTCTCAAGTCAAAAAACTTGGTAGATGGGGGCACAATAGCTTTAAGACACTGATCACCTACATCACACGAGTGAGTTAAGACATAGTTAACTGCTTATTCTGTTACTACTGGGATTATCAGTTTGCATTACACTACTAAGGCCATACTGCCTGTGTGCCTGACACAAAAGAGCTCTCGTGCAGTTACTAAACCAAAGGACAAACTTTGGGGTAAAGTTTCTGCAACTGAGGTCTGACACCAATTATGCCACTGACTCCACCAGCAGCCTAACTGTGGCTCAGTGAGTCCTCTCTTAGAAATGTAACTACCTACTGCTCATGCAGGTTAACCCCGGAAGAACTTGCAAAGGGAAAAAAAAATCTACTTGTGAGACTCAAGCCCTTTAAAAGACATATATTTTACTTTTTTAAAAAACATGTATCCTTAAACAATAGTTCTAGTGCTCTTAATTTCACGAACATGGTTTCAAACCAGGACCATGAATTCCATTCCCAGCTCTGCTGTCCACTATGGCCGTAAGAAAGAAAGAAGAATTAGAGAAAAAATAAAGTTATGTCTTGCTCAGGACATCTTGGTTTCTGTCGGTAATGGGTGGACTTGGAGATCAGCATGCACTCCACAGTATTTGTCTGTAAATTGTGTACATGCAATGTCTGGGCAATGAGAGTCCCTCACTTTTATCAGTTTCTCAAAGGGGATTCCAGAGAAGTTAAGTTCCTAACTCTAGAGAAACAGCTGTGCTCCTAAAGAACTGGAAACAAACTTACAATGTTCAAATGTCTTTTTATGGGACCTTCACCTTTCCTACAAGAAACTGTGGGTCAGAAATAACAAGACTGACTGACATGTGCTAGTCAAATGAACCAGACGGGACCCAATCCGAGCCTGCCTGGCCTTTCCCCCCTGCACCATGACTGTCCGGGAGGAGAGCTTTCAACACACTAGTCAAGGCTTTCAGTTGCTTTGATCCTTAACAATCACAACATGTATAAGCTTCCCCGTACTACCGTGCTTCTACGAAAGCATCTCGAACTGATGGATACTTAACATTCACGGTTACACATCTGTATTAGTATGAAAGAAGCCAACGAAAAATATGGCAAGTGTCATCCTTCTCTATTCAGAAAACACTGGCAGGATCAAGGCTACATGCCAAGATTTCCAAAAAGAGAGCTCTTTTTAAAGGACAGATAGGAGGTAGCAATGGCAATCCTGGCAAAGGGACTGGGGTAACCATGAATAGTAGTACCTGGGGCCGGGAGTAGGGGAAGGAGAAGTCTGAGCAGTAAACAGCCCTAAGAGAAATCCAGCATGGCCAGGAGTGAGTGACCACCAACTGAATCGCTAGCATTATCCTTCACAGTCATCACTCTCTTTCCTCCTCCTTCTCCGCCCCCAACTGAAGCAATGCGGCAGGAGGGGAGGGAGACAGGAGTGATAAATGGCGTAGCAGTGGGGTATAAATTCGGGTTTGAGATCTGTTTCCCCCGCGAAATAGCTGTCTGACTTCGGCAAGCCACACATCGTGCCTCAGTTTCCCCAAAGTAAAATGGGGGTACGGGATAACTACACTCCTGACTACACAGGAATGGTGCCCGGGTTAACTGAAAGTGCGAAACCCTCTGCTCAAGACCAGACTCAGAGGAACCGCTCCGTGGCACTAAGGCAAGTCCACAGGAGGGTCCTGGGGTCTGGGCTCCCGCCCGGAAAGGCGCTCCAGGGGCCCGCTCCCCGTACACTGGGTTCCGAGCCCCTGCCCGGCCCACCTTGTTGTTGTACTCCTCCACGAAGCTGCCCAGCGCCAGGCGAAAGCGCTTGTCAGGCCGCACGCTCCAGTTCATGGCGTAGACGGTCCAAGGCGCTTCATACTTGTAGATCTCCTTCCGTTTGCCGTGCAGGGACATGGTGGCTGCCGTGGGGCCGCAGTGTGGGCCGGGTCGACAGCGGACTGAGGCGGACGGGGCACGCGCAGGCCGGGTACCCTGACCTGGGACCCAGGGGTCCGAGGGGAGGCGGGGCCGGGGCCGGCAGGGACAGCCTAGCCCGGAAGCGGGGCCTCGGCAACAGACAACCACAGCCTCGGCCCGACCCCCACTTTCAAACCTGCTTGGGCTCGGACAACAACCACCTTCCGTTTGAGACACTGCCCGCCCCTTCTCCAAACGGAAGCTACGGGTTCTACACAGTGGTGCCAGTGGTTGGCTGCCTGGCACGTCATTTAGGGCAGCTCTTTCTCCTCACTGGCTATTGTACCTATAGCTTTTGAAAGTTCCTTGTTATTGGTGTAAATGTTTGTCATCCCAATTACTTGTCCAGCTTAATTCCACGGGGTAGGCTCGTTCTCTGTCCCAAAGGTCATTGGCTGACCAAGATGTCAGTCAGAGAGATAGCGCAGTGCGGGTGAAAGGGGGCGTGGGTGGCTTAGAGGCTATAGTGGGGAGCAGCAGGCTTTCAAGTTCTAGGCCAAGTCTGAGAGTGAAATCCCTTGTGTGACCTCTTTTTGTTAGGTAGGATAGATAGTAAACCAAGGCAGGCAGGAGGAGGGAGACCTGTCTCACCCACTAACTCAGCAGTCTTGCTGAGGGTCTGATAATATTGCCAGGTGCATGGGAGGCGGGAAGCCGTTGAAATTCTATGTATCTTTTCCACTGTCTGGGAAAGAAAGCCTTGAACCGTGTATTCATTCCAGGGCATGGAAAGGGAAAAAGGAGGGGGTCCACAGTGCCCCCAAAAAGCAGCATATAAAACTTTGGTTAATTCCATACCTCTGGTCACTAGCTGTGTTACAGGGAGTTCCTAATGTTTTCATAAAGAGCCCATAAATAACTTTGGGTAACTGCCTCAACTTTAATTAACTGCCTCCTGCCTCACATCTGTTTTATAACAAAATAAACAAATGTGGCCTGGAGCAAGATAAGGATTTGGGCTATCAGACTCCCACACATACCTAAGTTTGGGTAGTCACATCCCCCGGGGAAAGCTGACACCACCTTTCAATCAATATGTGACTTCCTCACCCCCATCCCACCAACTATGTAAGTCCTCAGAACAAAGGACCTGATGCTGTTGCTACCCCTGCTTTGTCACCCATGCTCTTGCCTTTCTCCCCTTAGCAAAGCCTGTTCTCTTCCAAGAGAAGGTATCGCCAATAAACCCTGCCTTCACACTAATAGGGTTGCTGATCTGTAAATCTTTACTGTTTAGCAAAAAGCAACAACAACAAAAAAACCCAAAACATGGTGGTTTGTCCCATAATACTTAGACTTCCACCCTGCAGCTGCTGTTTCTGAGCATCTTCTCCACGCTGTCCACTAAAAATTAAAATCTTGCCTTACTCAAGGACCTGCTGCATTTCGTGGCACTGAGCCTCCCTCAAGCCAAACAGGAACCACCTTCTCTCCTCACTCATGCTAACACACCCTTTAAGACAGAAGAGAGTTATTCTCCCATTACTCTGAGGGCTGGCCATTGGCATATCTTTTCAGACTGACCCCCTGATGTGCCCAGGGCCAGGCAGCCTCTGGTCAGGCCTTCCCGTGCTTTCCTGTCTATCTAGAAATGTTAGGCACTCCGGGGTGCATTTTCAGTAGGCAGCTCTCCAACCAGCTCGGCTTTAAGATTTTTAGATCCCCTACCATCCTTTTCCTGCTCCACCTCAAATCCCAAAGCAAAAGCTAATCAAACCCTAAGTTTATGTGTTCTGAGTTTGAAATGGAGAAGGGTTCAAGTCTTTATGATTTAAATGGTTTCCAATTCTTTGCTTTCAACAAAAGTAAAGGAGGATTGTATTGACTTGTTAGATATCATTAAGTATAGTTTTTAGTAATAAATGTGATTGTTATCAGACAACTCAAAGACGAAATTGCTATATATAGCAAAACTCTTACAGTCCTATCTATGTGTGTGGACAAGTTTTCTCTGTCTTTAAGCTTTTTTTTCAAGGGAAAGAAAAATAGGTACCAAATTGTTGCTGGGCCTTGTCTTATTCTAATATAAACATGATATTCATCCACAACCAAACTAATTGAGAGGAAAATGTCCTCTTTTAAGAGATGCATTTCTGATAAAATTTTAATATGTATTTATGTTGTTTTGGACAACTCTGTACTATTAAGTGTAACCCTTGCAGGGGTGCCCAACCTTTTGGCGTCTCTGGGCCACACTGGAAGAAGAAGAGTTGTCTTGGGCCACACACTAAACACACGAACACTAACAAAAACTGATGAGCAATAAAAAAGATTTTAAGTGCATTTACAATTTTGTGTTGGGCCCCATTCATAGCCATCCTGGGCCACATACAGCCCGTGGGCCATGGGCTGGACACCCCTGCAGGCCTCAGTAAGATTACGAAAAATTAATTTTAAAATGTTAATTTATATATTTGTGTTGCAAATCGATACGATAAAATTATTAATAATATAGACTTCAAAGCATGAAAATAAATTATATGTAGCATAAACTGACAGGAAGAGAATGGAACTATGAGGAGAAAAAGGAGTGTCAAAGAAGCGCTTGGTCAAGGCTTTTTAAAATGAAGGATGTTGGCTCTCAAATCACTATGCTACTTGGATCAAAATGGATCAGTTTATAAAGCACCAATATTTACAACACACTGGAAATTATATCCTTTACAACTATGTAAACTTATTAATGAAATACATCAGATGTCAAGTAAAAATGTGTGAGGAGGCAAATACACTTTCCAAATTCTTTTAGGGAATATTGGAGTAAAAAGGACTGAAGACCAATGACTGGGTATATTTTGGACAACGGTTCATTTGCAGTGGAGTCATTAACTGCACATATTCTCAAGTCAGATCATTTTGGGTTGAAATTACATCCTTCTTTTCCCATATTGTGGGCAAGGGCATTTTTTAAATCAAAGTATAATTTACACATAGAAGTGCACATATTTGCACAACACACTCGTGTAACCAGCACCCAGGTCAGGAGACAGAACAGTGCCAGTGCCCCTCCCCCATGTCCCCCCAGTGCTGGTCCACGTCGTTTTGTCTCCCTGTCTGCTTTTGATCCCACTTCTCTAAAATGGGAAAAAACAACACTGAGCCCTTAGGGTTTCTGAGAGGATTAGATAAGCTAATATCTGACAGCAGTCAGCACAGTGCCCTGCACAGGGTGACTGCCATGCAAGTGTTGGCTGTTGTCATGACTCCCAGTGACCACCAAGCCAGTGCCTCTCTTCTTCCCTTCACCCCTGCCTGGCTAAGAGTCCGATGGTCCAAGGGCTCCTGGGTCCAGCAGGGCTACCTTCAAGTCCCCAACACACAGCTCTTTGTGCGAAGGGCTTGGAGAAGACAAGTGATGTGGGGGAGATGGCACAGTCGAGGACATAATCACCCTCAGGTGAATGACACACCCAGCCCAAGGTGAACTGTGCACACTTTATTAGCTGTGATACCCTCCACTGTCCTCTAGGGTCCCAAAGGTCATCACAGAACCATCAGCAGCTGAGCGGCTGAGGGCTGGAGCTCTGTGCCACGATGTGTCCACTAGAGAGAACACGTTCATCTCCAGCCAGGTCACGGGCTCTCGAAGGTCTGATCAACCTTGGGGGCTGGGTCGGGAGGCGGTGGGTAATTCTGAGCCAGGAAAGGGTTGCACTCAGCCCACAGCAAAGGTCTCACACAGAAGATCAGAAAGTTTTCTTTTCCTCACTGACACCTTCTGTCCTGCAAGTTACCTCCAAGCCCAAGACTCTTGCCCACCGTTCCCCAGGCTTGCTATCTAAACAGAGGCCTGGAGAAGGCTAGGAACAGTCCTGAGCCCCCTCACCCCTGCCATCTTGGGTCACCTGGGTTAGCAGTTTACTCTAGGAGTAACCTGGCCCAGGAGTACTCTGGGTCACCTGGGTAGCTACTCTAGGAGAATAGTTTTCATTGGTCCATTTTGGCAGCTCTCCGTTTTCCAAATTCTTAAGTCTCACCGCACCCATCTTCAACTCCCTCATGGTGTTTTTTGTCTTGGGGTTCAGTGGCTTTAACTCCCTGAAAATCCAGGATCTGAGCCATGTCTCTGGAACTCCAGCTGCTTGGGGACAGAGCCAAGGTATTCTGGAAGGGAGGGGAAGCGGGAACCACAGACCAGACCCCGTGCCTCCAGGGGACGCAGCATTGAGGCTGGTGATGACAGGAGCCTGTCAGGCTGCTCCAGCTCCGAAGACAGCGTCGGTGTTTTGGCCATAGCCATGGCCAGGTGAGGCATCCTGGAGGGGGTGTGCCCGCACTTTTTGTCTAAGTTACCAACGCTTGGGGCCTGAGAGGGGCAAGAAAGAGGGAATGGGGGAAGGAATACAGCTGCCTCCAGGCAAGCCCCTGGGGGTTCCCTCACCTGCTCACCTGTGCAAGGGGCAGACCGCCCTGTGGCTGACTAGTTCCTGGACTCTGAGGTGCTGAGGCAGCAGGAAACAAAGCCAGGGCATCGGAGGCTGGGGCTCCCAGAATGTAGCCGATGTGGCCCTGGGGCAGGGGCTGCCGAAGGAGCTGCAGGATGCGGCTGAGGTCTGAGGACATGCGAGACTCCAACCTGTCCAACAGGACAGAACCCCACAGTCAGGGTCAGGGTTGGGGCTGGCAAAGCAGTTCAGGTCCTGAGGACAGCTCCCAATTTTGTAGCCTACAGGCTGCTCCTGCATGTTGGAATGGTAGCCTGGGGCCTACCTGAAGCCATTTCCCTGCTACAATCCATAGCCTCTGCCCAAATTCCCTTTAGAACACCCCTGACTTCTAAAATAAGCAAACAGGCACCGTACACATGTCATCTGGTCTTCATCTAGAAGCTTTGATTCGGGTGTTCCGATTGTCCCCATTTCATGAAGGGCAAACTGAGGCACAGAGTGATTAAGTGACTTGACCACACTCTTGCTGGTAAAATGCAGTGTCAGAATTTGAACCCAGGATTATACTACCCCTAAGCCCTAACCCTGTCAGCCACAGACCACAACCCTTTTCCAAGGTCCCATGAAATTTGTTTCTGCAGGAAGTTATGCCCCTCCCTCAAGATAGCTTTCTGGGCTTGTTCCAGCGTTTGCTGGGACAAATCTTCAGGGCTGCAGAAGCCTTCGGCTAAATTGGGCGGGCCATTCTGAAGCTTACAGGATATCCCGTGATGTTCCTGAACTACCAGGAGGGGGCGCCCCTGCCTAGCCTGCTGCTGTGCTTGCTCTCTGCAGCCCTTGAACCTGGCCAGCGGGGCACTTGCCTGTTCATCTGGGCCTGGAGCTGCTCTAGCCTGGAGCTCAGGTCCAGGGGCCAGCAGTCTGGGTCTTCCTGAGGATCTGGGGGGCTTTCCCTTGGCCTTGAGGGCACTTGCTGCAGCAGCTCAGGCCAGAGGCCAGATGCATCTGAGAGGCTCAGGGAAGGTGCTGCATCTGCAGGAGGGAAAGGAAAGCCTGAGCTGGGCCTAGTGGGTTCACACACCTGTTCCCCCTACCTGCAATGGGAACACAGGGCAGGAGGAGTGGCTGTTTTTACCTGGGTGCCCTGGAGTATGAGGTCCTGCCTCCAGAGAGGTCTCGCATCCACGACCCAGAAGGGTAGGTCATGGGAGGGGGCTGGGCAGGTCCCAGAACTGGGGGGCTGGCTGAGTGGGGGCATCTAGCCCTGGCTCCACTGCCCAGGAAGCTGAAGCCCAGTGGGTCCCCTGGTACCTTGATGTGGAACTCCAGGGGCTTGGCCAGTATTCCCCCTACCACCTCTCTGTGTCAACACTAGGCACCCAGCTAGTCCTCACTGTCTCCAGTACACAGGGGGAGGGAGACCCCCTCCATTCATCCAGGGCCTGGGGAGGCCTCTCCCAGAGGAAGTGGGATGTAAGCACTGAGAAGGCACAGGAGGCTGGCAGGGGCTTTGGGCTGGGGCAGAGCAGACACTGCCGGAGACCGGCTGGCTCACCTGACTGGCTGTCACCGAGGAAGAAGCCTTGGTGGTCCTGACTGCCTGGAGCCTGTCGGGGTGATGACTGGAAACCCCCATCTGCCTTGTGGGGAACAAGAGCATCAAGTAACAGGGACCAAAGCTGGGACAGGGCCCCTTTGTTGTCCCTTGTCCCCTTATCCCCTTGTGACAACTGGGTGAGAAAATGGTGAGAGGCGGCTGGGCTCCCAGGTTATACTCAGACAGCTTCCTGCAGGCTCTCTCCTCTGTGGGTGGGCAGGAGATGAACAGGGGTTTGGAGACATGTGACCCCAACAGAGCCTGGGGAAAGGCTGCTTTGAGCACCAAGATTGGGCGGGAGGGAGACATGTCCTTCCAGCCCTTCCTTTCCTGAATGCCCTGGAGCTCCCGCCTCAGCGGGGCCAGTGGGGAGTCTTCTCTGAGGAGACAGGACCTGGAACCCCCAGTCTACTCAGGAGGTGCCCCCAGAAGCACCCTTGGTGGCTCACCCTTCTGGTACCCCCAGTTAGGAGCCACCCAGGGGTCTGCAGATGCCCACAAAGACCACATCACTCTTGCCCTGGTGTCCAGCCACATGGGAAGGGGAGAGACTGGTGGGGGGCATAACAGCAAAGGGCGCAGGGTGCAGAGGGCTGCCTTTGGTAAGAAAACCTGTCCCAGCGCTGTACCCTCCATCCTGGGTGCCCCTCATCTTGAGGCTGGGAGGTCATGTTGGGGGAAAGCCACTGTTGCCCCTGCCAAGCGTGCCGGCCACCTCCTTCTCACTGGCTGATTCCAGACCCCCTCCTCCATGCAGCCTCTTCCGGGCTTCTAGTCTGTACTGCCTGTCCCATTCCTTGGCAACCCTGAGCTCCACAGAAATCTGTGGTCTCCCTGCACACCTCGTGACTTCCTCAGTTATTTCCCTGTGTGGCTCTTTATTTTTCCTGACTTGTTTAATCTCCTCCACTGAGTGATAAGATTGAGAGGAGAGATAGCTCTTTCACTTCTTAACACCCCTGGGCCCTAGGGCCGTGAGCCCCTGGACAGCAAACACCCTCCCTTTCAGCTTGGTACAATGGGTGGAAGGAGCCTGGGCTAGGGAGTCCCACAACCTTGACTTCACAGTTTGGCTCTGCCACTGACTGTATGGCTTCCTGTGGGGCGGGATGGCTTTAGTCAATTTGTCCTTTCTGGCCCTCCATTTCCTCATCTGAGAAATGAGGATGATAATACCATCTGCACAGGAGGACTAAATGAGATAATGTAAAAGAAGCTGAGGATTTAGCACACAGAGGGTGTTTAGTTACTGGTAGCTATCATCACACTTAGCCTTAAACAAGGCATAGTAGACACAGGAGAAATTACGGTAAAGAATGCAGCACGGGGTTGAAAGAAAAGGAGATGGTCAGATGGGCCCCCCCAGGCCAGTGGGCCACATTCTCGGCAGGCTGCCTGGCCATTATCCGTTACCAGCTGGCCAAGGGCCACCACCCTCCCTGGCCCACCCAGCCCAGACTCACGTCCCGCAGGTTGAAGGTGACTTCCAGCTTACTCCAGAAGCTGTCTGCGAAGGCAGGGTACATGTCCAGCACCTCCAGCAGGTCTGTTCTCTGGATCTTGTGCAGGTCGCAGTAGGTCAGGGCCCGCACATCTGCACTGGACTTGCCGGGCTGGGCGTGGAGGCTGACAGGCTCCCCAAAGATGTCATTCTTTCCTGCCAGAGAGGGATGGGGATCTCTCCAAGGTCTGGTTCCAAGCTTTCCTCTAAGGAGCTTCCCCGAGCACCCTCGTTCAGGACCTCTCTCCCACCTTGGGGATTCTGCCAAGCTGGGGTCTGGTGTTCAGGATCTAGCCCTGGGGACAAGGCTGGAGGAGCTGGCTGGGGGTGAGCACTGTGCACTTACCTTGTCCTATGAGCTCTGCAGAGACCCCCCTTCCAGCATGTGGGTGCTTCTGCTGTCTCCAGGCCCCTCAGGGCCCTCCTCTGTTAGAATCCCCCTCCTACTCCCACATGCTTTGGCACTGCCCCTCCCCCTGCCCCAGGGGGCAGTGACCACTAGAGGCTCCATGCTCAACCTCTCCTCAGCCTGCCTCAGTGACATGAGTGGAGCCAACCCAGGGCCAGGAGCACCTAGCTCCCCCGAGGCAGAGCCTGAGGCTTCTGTTTGGGTTCCCACTCCCCACCATGCGGCCAGGTAAGCAGTTGGCCCTGGCAGAGGAGGCCCGGGAAAGTCACTTACCCTCTTTGGGCCCCAGTGTCCTCATCTCTAAAATGGGAATAAGCATATCTGCCTCGACTACCCTCTGGGCTGTCCATAGGAGCAGGCGCGACACTTGAGAAAGTACCTTGAGTAGCAAGAGGCACCGGGCAGGTTGATGCAAGTCACTGGTATTGACAGATGCCACAGGGTGGACATGGGCTGATACTTGGGGCAAGTGTCAGGGGTACTGGGCCCTCCTGGCGCCATACTGTGCTGGCCACAGGGTGTATACATCAATAAGATGCTGCCCCACCCACAAGAAGTCCCTAACATCCTTGTGAGATAGGCACACAAGCAAAAGCAACTAGTTTACAAAATGACCTTCGAGCCTTGAAATAGGGAAGAGCCGAGAACTACGGGGCCACAGAGGAGGAAGGGGTCATTGCACTAGGGGTACTTGGGGGCAGGGAGGAGGGGGCTTATGGAAGCAGTGAAATGGGCTTGGGTTGTGAGAACTGAGGAGGACTGGGCCCCAAGGAGAAAGGCAATCCAGGCAGAAAAAACAGTGTGTGGTCAGTGCTGTAGTCCAGCTGCAGGGCAGAGAGCACAGGGCCGGGATGGGGTGCGTTGCTTGCTTTGACGTTCACTCCCTACACCAAGTTCAGCCCCCTCGGCCCAGCCCTACCAAACCTGTCACTAATGCTTTTTTCAGACAATGATGGATGGAGGCCAGGATGTGCCTCCCAAGAAAACAAGCTCTAAGGTCATTCACAGAGGGGGAAACTGAGGCCTAAAGAGGGCAGGGACTTTCCAGGGTCACATATGAAACCCGGGAGCTTGAAACCCAGGCAACATTATAAAGGGATGGTTTTCCAGTAGATGAAGGATTATGATTTAATGTTCATTTCCACTCAGGACAAAATGAGAAGATTTCACGTCTCTAACTGAAACTTAAATTGGACTGGCTTCTTAATTATTAATAATAATTATTATCCCTCCCGTTTGGATGGCACTTCTAAAGCAGGCTGGCAGAGGGAAGTTCTCAGATAGGAGATGTGCTTAGGCTCGGCCGTGAAGGACGAGCAGAGTCTGCCCGGCAGGAGCATGAGGCAGGTGCTCCAGGCAGAGCCGCAGCCTGTGCAGAGGCAGGGACGTGGAACAGAGACAGGCAGCTCTAGGGGAGGAGTGGTAGTTCCATGGCTGGAACCTGAAGTACAGAGGGAGGGTGGCAGGACCTAGGGTGGCCAGACTGGGCAGAACTGTGCACACAGGGGTTCGCTCTTACCCTGTGGGCCATGGGGAGCCGTGGAAGGACTTAGAGCAGAAGAGGAGTATGCACAGCCGGCAGAAGGTGGAAGATGGAGTATGGGAGCAGACCAGATGCAGGCACATGGGAGGGGAGCTCCTGACACCTGCCCAGGAAGGACACAATGAAGCCCGGGCCCCGGTGGGGACAAAGAGCCATGTGTGGGACGGAGATGGAAACAGATGGGGCTCTACGGCTGCCTGGATGAGGGGCAGGAAGATCCCCAGTTCAGGCAACAGACGGTTCACAGTAACAGTGATGCCCCCGGAGCCACCTTTGAGGGCAGATGACTCCAGGGTGAGATATGTTGTTTGGTCGGCCTGAGGACTCTAAGGGTGGCCATGCCAGAAAGGAGTGGAATATCCCTGTCTAAGGAGAGACTGGGGCAAGGACTGAGTTCCGGATGCCTGTGGCACAGACAGAGGCTGAGACCCTGGGAGCAAGGAGCTGGCCGAGGTGGGGTGTAGGGTGAGGAGAAGAGACCAGAGCCCCACACTTGGTGAGCACCAGCTGAGGGCAGACTAGAGGGAAAGGAGGGGTCACAGGAGCCCGAGGGGGGCCTGTCCAGAGTGGAAGAGGAGAGCCCTGCCGTGGAGAGCAAAGGAGGGCGAGGCTGCCATCCTGGTCAGGGACTGGGGGCAGGCTAAAGTCGGGGGAGGGAGCGAGAGGCAAGGAAGATGAGACAGAGAGACCTCTGTGAAGCTCAGAGAAGTGAAGTGACCTGCCCAAGGTCACACTCACACAGCTGCTAAGTGGCAGAGGTGCATGTGCCCCACATCTGTCCCCTACCCAGTGCTCATATCCTTCCTCCAAAGTCCAGCTGTCTCTGCAGTTGTGTTGAATGACACTGGAGACCCCCTTCACCCAAGACAAACCCTTGCCCTGTCACTCTGTGGCCCCCAAGAGTGAAAGACAGTAGGAGTTTGCCTGGTCTTCCCGGTCAGACATGTGGCCCTGGAATCCCTGCTTGGCAACTTACCACTATGATCTCTCTGAACCTCAACTTCCCTATCAGGAAAATGGACCTATGGCAGAGGTTTGTTTTAAGGACTCAGTGAGCGGGGATAAAGCTCTCTGTGGCACATGCTCAGCAATTGCAGGTTATAAGAGGTGCCACCATCGTCATTAGAATGAAGTGGTTTAGTCCCGCTGCCCCCACTCTCCCTCTGCCTGACCTACCTAGGATGGCCACGACCACGTCGTCGCGCAGGATCTCAATGGAGCCGCGGGAGATGAAGTAAAGTGTGGAGAGCACGTCACCGAGGTGCACCAGCGTGTCCCCGGGCGGTGCATGCGTGGTCTTGAACTTGACGGCAAGCGCACGCAAGCAGCCCTTGCTGGCGCCTCGGAACGCTGGGCAGTGCTGCAGCAGCGCGCGGTGCAGGTGCAGGCAGATGTCGGCCTGCAGACACTCAGGGAAGCCCTTCAGCACCTGCAAGGCGAAGTGGGAGGGGGTGGGGCTGGAGGAGCAGGCAGAGAGGGCTGGGGGGGGTGGGTGTTCTGAGCCCATGGGACCTTGTATTCCCCTGCAGCGTTAGCCAGAGCTGCGACTTGAGCTGGGTCGCCCACCCTGCCCAGGGCAGGGTGGTGGGAGCTCACTGCGTTCATGTCGATGCCGTTGGTGTAGGACCAGGCGTGTTGGAAGTACTCTTCCAGGCGCTGCCGCAGCGGGCTGGGGATCTGGTGGAAGCGGATGAACTCCTTGACACGCAGCATCTGCGTGTGGTAGCGCGCGGTGCCTGAGTACAAGCGCTGGATGATGGCAGACACGTTGCCAAAGATGCTGGCATACATGAGGGCTGGGGCGGGGTAGCGAGGGTGCGGGGAGTGAGCTCCTCTGCATGCCCCAGGCCTCACCAGCCCAGGGCCTGCTCCAAGCCTCCCTCTTCCTGGGAGCCCTCTGTCCAGGGCAAAGCCAGGAGTGCCCAGACCCAGCACCAGGGCACCTGGAGGACAGAAGCCCGTGGGCGTCCTGCCCTCCTCCCTCTGCCCCTCCTCGCATCCTCCTGAGAAGGAAGAACTAAGGCCATGGAAATTTTTAGTTCAGATTTGTTTTCCCTTTCAGCTGTAAAACTGTAATAAAGGGAAAACTCTTGGTCTCTTGTTTTCACCCATTTTTTTTCTTGTTTTTGTTTTTCTGGGTTTTCACATCTCTAAATATTCTGAACATGACAACTTAATCTACGTGTAAAATTCCACACTGCCTCTTGTGTTCCTAGACCAGGCGTCTAGGGGGGCAGGCAGCACAGCACAGGGCCTGAGAGCACACAGCCCGGAAACTGCCTCTGGACTAGAACTGGGCCTCTGTGTATCCCCAGGCAAGCTAGGGCCTCTGCTTTCTTGGTCTGTAAACTGGGCCCATAATACAGCCCTATGGGGGTAGGTGATGGGAATGAAACGTGGGCCTTTGCTAAGCACTTAAAAGAGTGCCTGGTGGCTCTGGCTTCATAGGCATGTGACCTGTGCTAAGAAGGGGCCTGCATTTGGTTTATTCTCTGCTCTCACCATCTTTGAGATTCTTAATGTTTTTTAAACAAAGGGCTCTACATTTTTATTTTGCACTGGGCCCTGCAAACGATGAAGCCTGTCCCAGTTTCTGGCACCTAGCAAGGGCTGTCCTGGTGTTAAATGGTGTGTATAGCTGGTGTATACTGGCAATAGTTCACCATGCTGTGTGCTTAGGATCTGCCCATCACACACATTGTTACTGTGTTCTGTTATGTCTCATTACGAAACTCAAATCAAATTCTGTGGGTAAGGCCAGGGGCACGAGGTGGCACTCACAGCCGATGAGCATGACGCAGATGGAGAAGACCTTCTCTGAGTTGGTGTTGGGGGACACGTTGCCGAAGCCTACGCTGGTGAGGCTGCTGAAGGTGAAGTAGAGGGCAGTGACATACTTGTCCTGCACTGAGGGGCCCGAGGCTGGGTCACTGCCATTGTAGCGCTTGCCAAGCTGCTCGCCCAGGCTGTCCAGCCAGCCGATCTTGGGCTCCAGGTAGGGCCGCTCCACGTTGCCGATGGCATACCAGATGCAGGCTAGCCAGTGTGCGATGAGTGCAAAGGTGCACATGAGCAGGAAGAGCACGGCTGCCCCGTACTCAGAGTAGCGGTCCAGCTTCCTGGCCACACGCACCAGCCGCAGCAGCCTCGCCGTCTTTAGCAGCCCAATCAGGGTCGTGGTCTGCAGGGGCAGGGAGGGAGCCATGTGGCAGGTGGTCAGCCCTTGAAAGGCTGCACTCAGGACCATATTTGTTTACTCGTGTGTATGATCACATAGTCACTCAACAAACACTAATAAAGAACCTGCTCTGGGCCAGGATCTTGGCAGAAGGGTACAGCATGAAACCTTAAAGAGTTCTCAGCCTAAAGCTCAAAATTGGTGTTACGGTTACTAGGACAGCAATCTAGGGAGAGCAGAGAGGGAGGGGAGGTCGAGTCCACAGGAGCAGAGCAGGGAGGCTACATAGAGGAGGTGACACATGAGCTGAGTCTTGAGATGAGGCTGGGCCTCCAGGCAGATAGGAGGGAGAGGGAAAGGGCATTCTGGGCTCAGGGAGCAGCATGTGCAAAAGCCTGGAGGTGTGAAATGGCACAGTCCACGTGGGAACCAAGTGTGGCGCTACAGCCTGCAGCTCAGGGAGAAAGCTGGTGTAGTAGAGAGAGACGAGCCTGGAAGATGGGCATGGGCTGCTTCTGTGGGCCTGAGAGTCCATAAAGAGCTTGGTTTTTATCCCAAGCCACTGGGAAGCCATTTCTAGGTGTGAGGACAGGGTCAGATAAGTAGCATCTGAAACTCTTCTGTGTGAAGGGGGCGAGGCTGGCAGGTGTGGGTGGGGCTGGGGTGGGCCACTCAGTGTCTAGCCAGGGGCAGTGGGGGTGGAGAAGGCAAGAGAGAACTTGGGAATAGGTTTGCTGGGAGCGGGTGGGCGTGTGAACAGGGAATCATAAGGGACAGCCCCTAGTGTAAAGCTGGGGGGTGACTGGGGGGTGAGAGGAGCACAGAAGGTCGAGCTGTCTGGGCTGGAAGGCTGATCCCAAAGAGGTGGTTCAGGGGACATGGTGGGAGTAGAAGTTTTACGAAAAGCATGAAAACACCCTCACAATAGCTATGGGAAGTGAACTTGGCACAGTGGAGGGGCTCAGGAATGAGAAGGGGTCAGACTGCATTAAGGAACAGCTCGCACGAGGGGCTGGAGCTACAGGAATGTCCATCCCAGAAAGGGCCGAGTTCTGGAGCACAGGGAGGCCACCCAGACCCGGGGCCCGTCCTTCTCCAGCTGCAGGAGCTGACCCAGAGGCGGTTTGCTCACCTCGTCAGAGCCAGTGCGGAAGATGAGCAGGTCGAAGGGGATGGCGGCCACCACGTCAATGAGGAACCAGCCCTTGAAATAGTGGACGGCGATGCGGCGAGGGTGGCTGACCACTTCGTCGTTGGTGTTGACGTAGGTGGTGCGGAAATTGATGACAATGTCCACCACAAACATGATGTCCACGATGAGGTCCACCACGGTAAGTGGACTGCAGGTGTAGCTGCAGTCCCCGCGCTGAGACTCGTCCTGGTCGCTGAGCAAGAAGGCAGCTGAGTAGGGTGTGAAGACGGCCGTGTAGATGACCAGCAGCAGGATGAGCCAGTCCCACACAGCCTTGAAGGGGCTGTAGTGCAGGAGGGTCCCACGGTGCATGCGCGGTGCCTGCAGCTTGTACTCGGGCAGCACGTCTGCACCCAGGGACAGGACCTAGGGTGGGGGCCGTGGAGTGGTCAGTGGGCCAGCCACGGCCCTCACCCTAGGGTGGTGGGGGCTGGTGAGATGGGTCAGGGAGAGGTGATGCCTAGGAAGGCCCCGTGGACCCTGGACCAGTGCAGGCCTCCCGTGGGGCCAGCTCTCAGAGCTTTCCATGGAAAGAGTCAGATTTGGGTGTGAAGCTAATCTGGGGCCTTGACAGGCCCTGAGTACCAGGGAGCCTTGACTATTTCTCGTTTGTCCAAGGGGGGTTTGATCGTTACATTTAACCGAGTCCTCTCCACTCTGCCCTCCCGCCCTCAAGTCCCGGCACAGCCCTGTGTGCCTCTCCCTGCAGGCCAAACCTGGGTGACCTTCTCGGTGACATTCTGGGTCCGCTCCACCACCTTGTGGGGCGCGATGATCTCAATCTCTGTGGTGGAGCCTGAACGGTGCTTCTCCAGGTTGAACTCCACGAAGTTGAGTGTGAATTGCGGAATCTGGCTGATGGTCCTGTACTTGACTCTGCTCGCACCGGGCCCCTGTGTACCCGGCCTGCCGTGAGAGCCCTCTGAAAGCAGGGCCAAGGTCAGAGCAGCCAGGCCCAGGGATGCCCCCACAGGTTCCTCCCTCCAACACCTGTACCCCACCTCACCAGAGCCCAGGAAGCTTGGAGACAGCAGGCGCTGGGATAGGCTGTGGCTCCCACTCTTGGCCAGGAGTTGGGCCAGATCCTCGAAGTTGAGGATGAACATGATGACGGCTCCATCCTCATTCTTCACGGGCACGACATCCACCAGGCAGCGAAAGCTGGAAGCTGCAAACACCATGGCTGGGTGGGGGTTGACCACTGAGGGGGTCCTCTCCTGCAGGAGACTGGCCAGGGGAAGCTAGGGAGAGGGCTGGGTAAAGGTCAAATTAAGGGCGGCCACAGGGTGAGGAGGCCTGTACAGAGGGTTGGTGATGCTACAGAGCAGAGGTGGGGAGAGCAGCTAAGCTGCTCATTAGGAGATAATGTAGCATCAGGTCCAAGTCCATGCTCAGACCTCAGCTCAGGGCTTAACCTTGAGGTTTGCTTCTGTTGTAATTAAAGCAGAGCAGATGGGGGTGGATTAAGTGTGTGTGTGTGGGGGGGGGGGTCAGGCATTCTACCCCATGAAGCTCTGGCAGGCCCTGGGTTCAGCTCCCATGTTCCCACCCCACAAAGCCGACACACTATGAAGGCCCTCATCACTGAGAATACACTAAGTGCTGGGCGCTGAGCCAGTTGCCATATGAGGCCTCAGTCTCCATGATGGAGCCCAGTGGGTCTTTGTGGGTGGGAGGCAGAGACCCCCATTCTGCAGATGAGAGCCTAGGTTCTGAGAAACTGACTTGCTGGGGCTGGGAGGGGACACAGAGCAGGGAACCCCAAGTTCTCAGTACACAGTGGCTTGGAGAGGGGAAGGGGCTTGTCTGGCATGGGAATGCTAGAGGCTGCTGCTCCAGGCCTGGAAGGGGAGCAGGGTTTCAAGGCAGAGGCGCAGGGGGGGGACAGTGGGCTGGGGTCTGGAGAGGAAGACAGGTGGCAGTGTGGGGAGAAGATAGGCCCCTCCTGCCACTCTCTCCACCTTTTTGGGCGGCCCAGATCCAGCCTTTTGCCTTACTGTTCCTCTCATTCTGCTTGCTGCAGGGTCTCGCTCCCCTACTGCTGTGGATGGACAGAACAAAACAAGTTAAAATTGCCTTTGGGCTGGGTGGGTGGGTGAGCCTCCTCTCCATGGTACCTGGTGGTCCCATGTCCCTCAATCAAACCATTGGTGGGTGTCAGGCCCAAAGAAGAATGCTAAGGGGCATGGGTCTCAGGTAAATGTGCAAACCAGAAGACACCGCTGCCCAGGCTTGGGTCTGTCTCATCTGCCAGCAGCCGGCACCTGTCTCAGGTGTTGTTTGTTGATTGAGAGGATGAATATGCATGTAAATGTGAGAGAGTGGGAGGTCTGCTGGCAGCAACATTGCTCCTTTGGGGTCTACTGGAGCCATTCTTCCCCCGACTTCCCATTTGTGCTCACTTCCCTAGGTGTCTCTTCGCAGCCATCAGACTGGGGTGCAGCTGAGCTGTCTCTGTCCATCCTCCCGCGTTCCTCCCTGGGAGCAGGAATCTCCTGGATCAGATTCCCGGACTCCCAGGCACCAGGCAGCCATCTGCCAGCTGCTGTACTGAGCCCCAGGGGAGACATCCACACTGGGAAGAAGCACCATCTGCCTCTGTGACCCACTCCTGGGCTCACTGTGCTGTAGGCCTGCCGCCTGGGCCAGAGCCTGGCACCCTTGTCAGCCTGGGGCATGGCAAGGCATGGGCTCTGGGACCTGGCCAGCAGCCTAAGACCCTGCCCTGAAGATCAGACTACCTCCTCATGCTCTCTGGCATTGCAGAGATCTGGCCTGGCAGGGGGCAGGGAGAGGGCATAGCTGGGCAGAAGGGCAGGGCTTCCGGGTTCTCTATGATGCTGGGAGCAGCCAGAGCCCAGTCTTTGAGTGGCTGTGCCCAAGCACTGATGCTATCTTTGGAAAACTGAACCTGAGAATGGTCCGAAGACCAGCCATCATAGCAGTGAGGCCTGGAGGGGGCCACAGGTGGCACCTCCATGCCTGACCTTCATCTTGCTGCCCATGGGGCGTGCAGAGACAGGACACTGAGGGTTTAGATGGTTCAGAGCATTCTTTGCACCCGTCCCTGGACTGTTCTTGCTCATGAATAACTGCAGGTGATCAGAAGTTAGTGTGTTGTCCTAGGTCGTGCCCAGGGGTGGCGGTGTTTGTGTGCCCTTGCCTTGTTGCCAGAGGAAGGGCCCCACTCTCTGTCTCATACTCCCTTTCAGGGCCCCCTCCTACCACCCACCTCCCTGACCAAGAGCAGCAGTTTTGTCTGCCACACACACGCCACCCTTCTGCTCTTCTCCGTCTCTTGGCTGTGCCTCTTCTTTCCCATTTGCTTTGTTCCTGTGCTCTCCTCTGCCCTCTGGCCCTCGTGCATCCTCTGCACTGCCTCCCTGCCATCCAGTACCTCCATCACTTTCTGCACATCACATCCAGGACTGCAGTGAGACTTCGGGGAGGAGCTGGTGCTACAAAACGCCGCCACGAAGACAGGGGCTATTCCTACCTGCTCCCTGCTTGGTGTTTCTGGCACTCATGAGGACCCTGTCCTCCCCATCTCAAGCGGAGGGCTGGAGGAGCCCCAGCTCTAGTCTAGCTTAAGGATTCGGGGACCTGGCAAAGCTGGGCAGGGCTGGTGCCCAGTGGAGGTAAGGGTAGGGGTAGAGGAGAGCCAAGGGCTTCCCATCTCTTCCTCTAGACTCTCATTGGTTCTAGTCTTGTGGCTACCCTATTCCTCCTTATCTGTTAGGTTCACACTCTTCTTATAAAGGCAGATGGAGGAAGAGCCAATTTCTTAGGGGTCTCAGAGCCCTGTGTCATGGGGTGATTTTTGTCAAGTGCCCTGGCCTCTTTGAGCCCAACGTTATGCAGCTGCACAGTGTGGAGAAATGTGGACACGGATCTTCCCCTTTGACTGGGAGAACTGTCACTGGATTATTCCTTTAGAGGAAAAGAGAATTAGAAATAAGCTAGCTAGAATTCTGTTCAGTTTCCTACCTCCCTGGAATCAGGGGGGATGGGGCTGAGGAGGTATTAACCTGAGACGGGAGGAAATTAGCATTAGGAAGCACCCCGGTAGGATTGTAAGAGGTATATGAATATGATTTTTATATAAAAAAGATCATGTGGTCTGAATGGACCATGAGGTGAACACAAATTATCTGAAAACCACATCCTCCCCTTAGCATAATATAAGCTAGGAAGCTCCCTTTTCTGGGCTCCTTTTTTAGGCCAATTTTGGGCAGGTCTGGGCAGTTAAAGGCTTGGACTATAGGACAGGGAAGGGCTTGTGGTAGAGGTGGGGTTAGACAGGCATTTGGGGACATCAGGAATGTGGGTAGTTTTCCATTCTCACCTGGGGTCAGCCTCCGAGACTAGGTTGTCAGGGTCTAGCCTGAGAGCTGGAGGACCCAGCAGGACTCAGAAGACCTGAGTCCTGATCTCAGAGGGCCAAGACCTGGCCTTGACCTCTGCCCCCTGCCCAGTCAAATACAGGGTGCTAAGGAGACCGTAAGAGTCCTGACCTGATATCTTCAGGAGTCCAGAATCAGACTCCTTAGGGCCCAGGTAGAGCTCTGGGGTCAAGGAGAGGGACAAAGAAAGACCTGTAATTCCTCCTCATTTCCTGCTGTCCCATCCTGTTCCCCCAGAGCCCTTCCCACTCCTCTGACTGTCACCTCTTCCCTGCAGTGACAGGAGGAGAAGTCACAGCTTTTTAAAGTGCTCCAACTTCATTAACCCTGTGAGTGCTACCACATTAAGCCAGATTCTTCCTGCTCCCCTATCTCTACCTCTGCATTCACTTGGGTGGCAGCTGCAGGAGACAGCCAGGACCTGCCCAAGAAGCACCCCAGAAGCCCTTAAACACACACACACACACACGCACACACACACGCATGCACTCACACACACGTTTACATTCACACTTACACCCACGCTGCACATATACACCCGGCCCTTGGAACTTGAGCTTCAGGGTCGCTCAATCCAATCCACAGGTGGCTGACCTCCATCTACACCCAGATGGCCCCCCAAGCCTGCTTTCCCTGGGGAGGCCTGTTCTGGGGCTTCCTTTCCCAAAAGTTCTGCCTCTGAGCACAGAGGCAGTTCTGGTCCTTTTTTCCCCTCTTGGGATTATTCAGAACAGAGATATCTCTAGGGAAGAATCCAGAGATTTGGCATCCGACGCCAGGTTGGAACCCAGCAGTAGGATGCTGGGCAAATCCCTTTTTTCTTAAGCCTTGGTTTCCTCATCCATAAAATGAAAGGATTCATCTAAGTCAGTGATTCCTAAACTTGGCAGAATATCCAAACCACCAGGGATACTTTTCCAAATATACCTGTTTGGGCTTCACCTCACACCTCTGAGTCAGCCTCTCTCTAGGAAAGGTGTGTTTTGGAAAACAAGTCCCAGGTAATTTCAAAGCGACTTTCAGGATCCTAGTTCCCACCCATTTCCCTCCTTGCCTCATCCAGTAGAGAATTAGAGGTCCCAGCAAGGAGGGTCTCAAAGGCGTGTGAAAGTCTTGATCATCAGCCCCTGCCCTATGCTTCCGTTCTGCTTGCAGTAAACTTGGGCTGGTGTGACATCCCAAACTGGATGAACCTTCAGGTCAGGCCAAACTCCAGACCCTCTCTCCCCAGGGGGCCAGGCTGGGAGAGCCAGACCCACCCCTCTTTCCTATCCAGCAGCCCCCATGCTTTGCTTGTCCACAGAGGCCTTGATTCTTCCCCTAATCCCCAGAGCAGACAGAGATGAGGAAAGGTTAATTTCCACCCCAGTTGCCTGACAGCTGGGGCTGACAGTGACAGAGTGGACAGTCAGGAGGCTAGGGACATCGGAGAGGGATGGTGGAGCGGGAGGCCCTGCCTGGAGTTAGGATGCAGCCTGGTGTCCAGTTTCTGAAAAGGATGTCTCAAGGCATCCCATCCAATGCCCATCACTTCCCCATATGGATGAGGAAACTGAGGCTCAGAGAGGAAGCAGGATTTATCCAGGTCCTTGGTCCTTGGGGGGTCAGTGGCCTCCCCATGGTCACCTGGCAGTCCAAGAGAGGGGCCAAAAACCTGTGGCTAAAGGGTGTCTCACCATCCTTGCGGTAGTAGAGGATGTCCACTTTGCACTCCTCGGCCCCCAGCAGGGCCTGTGCCAGGCGGGACATGGCACTGCGTGGGGTGTTGGGGCCCGTGAGAAAGTCGCAGGTGCACGGCTGTTGCATCACCTCTACTCGGGAGTAGCCGAATAGTTCACAGAAGCCATCGTTGCAGTAGATGATGGCGCAGTTCTCCATCTGGGCATTGGCGATCAGGAACTTTCGACCTGGGTGGGAGGGGTGAGGGGAAGGATTGGGTGGCAGGGAGGGAAAGATTATAGGGACTCTTGGCAGCAGCAAGGGGTATCTAGATGAGGGAGCAGAACAGTGGCCATAATGAGGGAGGGGGTGGTCAGGTCTGGGGAGGGTGGGAAAACCAGGGAGGCCAGAGTCGTGGGGGAAGATCATGAGACTCCTGAGGGTTAATAGAGGGGTGGTCAGGAGAGGGGAGCAGGACAGTGATGAGTGAAGCTGGGGAAGGGATGTCAATCTTGGGGATTGTGGGAAGACCAGGGTAATAAGGGGGTCGGTGAAGTGGGAAGGAGGCCTAAGGCTTCCTGGAGACAGTAGAGGGTCAGGAGGAGGGAGCAGGGCTGTGACCTGGGGGTCAGGCCTGGGGGGAGCCCATAGACCTAGAAAGACCAGGTTGGTCAGGGGCAGGAGAAAGTCGAGGAAACCTCCGGAGGGTGTGTGTGTGTGTATGTGTGTATGTGAAGAGGGGGAAGCCAGGCAGGGACTGAAGGGGAGGTCAGGGCTTGGGGGGCAAGAAAACAAATCAGTGGAGGAAGGAGGGGCTGTGCTCTGACACTTGTGCTCCAGAACAGAAGAGGTCAGGCATGTGAGGTAAGTGGGGCCCGCTGGAGAAGGTGTTCAGGGCACTAAAGCGAAGAATTTTGTATTCAGCATCTGGTAACCTCCACCCTGCTTCTCTCGAAGTTAGCAAAGAGGTCCGACTATTGCTGCCACAGAACCAGAGCTCCAGATGGACCCGCCACCCCAACGCAGACACTCACTCTGGCCCTCGAACTTGCGGATGATGGTGTCCAGATAAGTGTTTTGGGGCGCTACGTGGCCCCTGCGGACAGGCATTTTCCGGCCGCGGCCTCTGCCCGGAGCCACCAGCGCCCCGGCTCCCCGCGCCTCCGCTTGTCCTCGGGTTCAGCGGCGTCTGGCTCTCGGGGGGCGCCGCCCCCGGGGAGGGCAGCGGAGCTCCGTGCCCTGCCCGCACGCCTGCGTCTACCGTCCTCTTTCCTCCTGGGCCCTCCCTGGCAGCCACTGGCCTCGCCTCCTCCTCTTCACCTCCGCCCTGGAGCTGTCCGCGCCGCGGTGCTGAAAGAAGCGGCGGGGAGGCGGCGGGGCGGGGTCCGCGGGGCGGGGGCAACTTCTCCTGGACCCGAAGGGGCAGGGGCGGGGCCACGACTCCCAGGGGGCGGAGCTGGGACGGAGCCTCGCGCCAGGAACGGGGCAGGGCTGCTCTGTGGAACTTCTGCTCTTCTTCCAGTGGCCAGTGGCCAGTGGCCTCAGCCCCTCTAGGACTCTCTGGTGACACCGAAAGGCACTTTGGATGTTGCCGGGGCGAGTCTCTCAGACAGGGGCCGGGCCGGGCGGAACGGGTTGTTAGAAGCCTCAGATGGTCTTCTGTTGAAGATTATCGCTGGACCTGACCCTGGCAATGGTGCGGTTAGATTCTTGCCTGCCTTGCCAAGTGCCCTCCAGCTGAACCCCAGTGCCCAGGCAGAGCTCTTAATGGCAAGTCCATCCAAATGTTAGTCCTGGGAGAATGAGGTAGGAGTACACATAAAAGAAAGAAACACACAATCAGGTGCTTTCTTGAGAGGCCTGAGAGCTCTTAGCATACAGGCGTTACTTGAGAGGAGACCAGATTTAAAACCACCTATTAACAAGTGATCACTGATAAAAGTTTCTGAGTACTGATTGAAAACACACTAGAGAAAAAGATGGGGTGAGGTTTATTGAAAGAATCTTCTTAGAAATGAGAGAGAAATGGACCACTGTTCACTGAGCATCTCAGCAGGTTTGAAAGCTTTGCAGAGGGTCCAGTTTTGAGCCCGACCAGGAGGGCAAGCATTCAAAGGGGTCATGCACCTTAGGCAAAGGCCAGTGGTACAATCAGTGCAAAGCTTCTGAGCTGGCAACTGGGAGAGGTGAGGTTGGAGCAGAGAGGAACTGATAAAGATCCTCAGATGTCATTTTGAACATCTAGATTTAATCAATGGAGAACAAGTGCTTACATAGTTAGACATGAAAGAAATATTTCAGTGAAATAAACGTTACAAAAAGCTGGTGGGGGAGGGAGGCTGGGCAAGGGAACAAACTCAGTGAGGTTTTTGCTGGAGTCCAGGTGAGAGGCTTGGAGTCCCGGGCTGGCTGTGCCTTTGCCACTCAGAACCACAAGCCTGTGGGGGCCTTGTTGGCCACTGTGGCTGGCAGTTGGGAGAGCTGCAAATGTGGACTCCGGTGGGGAAAGGAGCAGCGTCGTCCTGGCTGGGACATGTGTTGGGGGGGTGGGGAGTAGGGCAGCTATGGAGAAAAGGTAGGGCGTGGGGTGCTGAGCTCTGAGGAGGGTCTTGGATAATGGGACGCTCAATCACTAACTTATTCAAATATTTTCCAAATCCCCATTATGTGCCAAGGTCTGTGCTGACTACAGATATTACATGGGGACACAGTTCTGATAGCTGCCCTGCCCTTATAGAGATGACTGCTAGTAATGGGGACAAATAAGGACCTTACAGCACAGCAATGTAGGGACAGAGCATCAAACAAGGGTGCTGTGAAGCCTGCAGTTGAGCAGGAAGTGCATGAGTTGAACCCTAGGAAGATCTCTTGAAACCTGAGCAGAGAGAGGGTCCATGAAAAACTCAGTGCAGTTCCTCTGTCCCCAGAACCCCTGATATCTTAATCCAGAAAGAGCCAGTCTCACGTTTTGGCCACCCTCCCACCAGCTCATCTGCAGCCCTGGGGCTCCTCTCTGTGGTTAGTAGCTGTGATGCTGCTTCCCCTCAAGGTTGCCCTAATCTCTAACAGGCGCTGATTCTCAGCCTCCCCAGGAACCCCTGGGGCCTCAGTCCAAACTCAGTTTGTCTGGATGGCAGGCAGACCCAGGCTGGAAAGAAAGGGCTAGAAGGGGCAAGAGCAGAGGCCTTCCTTCTTTCTTCCCAGGCTTGTCCCTGGAGTCCACCCACAGCATTTCCTCCCTGTCATCCCCTCCTCCATTGAGTCTGGAAAGGTGTTGTTTGCCCTGTGCTCAATCCCCAGGGCAACAAACCAGCCAGCAGGTGTGTGTGTCGAACAAGGCCATCTCTGGAGTGGAGTGGCTGAAGATGAGCTTTGTTTAAATATTCAAGAAGTCAATCATTCATCAAGCCTGGCTTGGTGCCCAGCTACCCACTGTCTCCATTTGGGAGGGCCTGGAATGGGGGCAGGGAGAGCCGTGGGGCATTTTGTGAGCTTCTTGCATCTCCTACAGCTGACGAGTAACTTTTGGGGGCTGAATTATGCAGCCCAACACATGGCAGGCCAGAGATTCAGCAGAAAGATGTGCTGGCCAGCATATAGAGTACAGTGCCCATGAACTGGGTGCCAATGATTTACACAGGAATGTCTGGTTCTACTTAAATACATTTTACAAGGGGACTGAAGCCATGTCCTGTTTCTAACCAGTGCAGACATTCCTTGGGCACTGTGGTCACAGTCCAGCTCCACAGCTGGGCGCCTGGAGAAAACTGGCTTTGTGAAGAAACCATTCTGGGCATGAATTGGGGTGCAGGCTGCTTTGGAGGGACACATCCACTGGGTGACTAAACCATGGTTCCCAAGTTCTAGGGGAAGGAGGTTGACCTATAACCAGGGCACACATGGAATACATGGAACCACATGGAATCGCACAGTCTGTCACCTGTGCACATGGACTTGCATACATGAGCTCACACACACACAGTTACAACTCCCCATATGCCCAGATCTGCTAGCAGTTGGGCACTATGCATGCAAGCTCGCCCCTCCCCACCTGCCCCCAACCCTCTCTGGCTGGGCTATCCTCCTCCTGTCCCTCCCCCACCTCCCCAGTTGCACTGGGGTTTAGTCCCAGCTCCACCATTTAGCGCTCACCCGTGGAGATGTTGTGCTGTGTGAAAGTTTGGATGGTCGGGCTGATTGAGAACAGCAGCAGGACCAGACAGAGGCCCAGCAGAACCCACCATCTTTTGGCAACCCAGCTGGTCATCATGGCTTTGCCCGGGAAGTAGGCATGGCAGGATTTGTGTCTTATGCACTGGGCCAGGGGCTTTTTTTTCCAGGGAGTATGCAGGCCAACAGTAGAGCCACCAGGAACGTAACAAAGTTCAGGGCCAGCTACACCCACTGCCCGAATTTGGCCTGGTCAGTGTCTAGTTCCACTCAGGAATTTCACCTGTCTTTGTCTTTTTTTTTTTTTTGGTGGAAGACATGGGAGTCTTACAGAGCAGGGGGAACTGGAGGGCCCTGAGTTGCCCTGTGGCCATCAGAGAGGGTCTGACTGCCAATGGACTTTCTCCTAAACCTCAGGTGCCTACCTTCCAAGCTACAGGTGAGGACATTGTCCTGGAAGGGGAATAGGAGAAAGAAGCAGAAGGAAGAGAAGGAGATGGGTATAGATAGGGCCATATGCCCTTATGGTGTCCAGCAGTGACCTCATGCAGGGCTCAGGAGGCAAGATGCCACCCTGTGCTCAGATGCCAGCCTGGCAGTCTGGCTGGACAGTGTACAAGGAAGCAACTGGGTCATGGGCTGGGGCATGAGCTGTGGTCTTGGCTGAGGCCGCAGCAGGTGCAGACAGGGTCATGCAGCGTCAGACCTGTTCATACCAGGTCGTAGAGGGACTAGGGGTTAAGCCTGGGCTGGGGTAGGGGCTGGCCCAGGGCAGGCGAGAGTAGGGCTTGGGTTGGACAAGAGCTAGGACCAGGGTCAGATTATCAGACCTTTAAAGGAACAGCTGAAGTCTGGCCAGCCCAGGATCTGACCCTGGCACACGTTTTTGGTGACCAGCCAGTACAGGAGGGGCTTGAAGTAGGTCATAAGGGCCTTTGCAGACACCTTGGTCTGCCCGGCTATCTTCTGCAGGACCTCTGGCCGAGTTGCTGGAACCCAGCTTCAGGATATCCCTGGAAGGGTGGGTACAGCTGTGAGTCTGTGTGGTGGCATCCGCTCTGAGACCCCTCAGTATGCCCAATTCTGGCCCTAGGGCTTTTGATAGCCAGTCCTTTCCCACAGAGCTCAGCATAGTGGATAACATCACAAGCTTTGAAATAAGACCTACCTGGGTTTGAATTCTGACTCTGTCACTCAGTAACTATGGGGCCTTGGGCAGGTAACTTAACCTTTCTGAACCTCAGTTTCCACATGTATGGGCCATAGTAACAGTGCATTTCTCCTAGAGCTGTGGTAATGATTAAATAACCACACGGCTGGGAGCATAGCAGACAGGTAATGAATGTTAGCTCTCCACACAGCATAGAGAAATAAGAATTACTATTATTATTTTCATGACTCCTTACTCTGATGATTATTATTCTCCCGGACTCAGATGGGCATAAAGTCTTAAGACGCTGTTTCCCATGAGGGGCATGCTGTCAGTAGGGAGAGGCAGCCCCTCACCCTCTCTGGTCTCACAGGGAGAATTTGGGAAGATTAGAGAAATAATGAGCACGGGATGTGCTCTGTGCACACTGCAGTGCAGCACAAATGTCAGCTCTGTCCGAGGGCTTGGTGGCAGGGGATCAAGCCTCAGGCTTGGCCTGCACACTCACAGTGGAGGTACGGAGTGTGCTGAAGCCAAGGCTCTCAGCGCCTCCACCCCAAAATACCCGGAGGAGGCAGCAGTGGGCACGTACTGATCCTTCTCAACTTGTTTCCCAATCCGAGCAGCAGAGAGGTGGGGCCTAGGGGCGTAGAAGTCGGAGTGCGGAGCCTAGACTAACAGGACACAGGTTCAAGACCCAACAGCACTACTTATGGGCTGCATAATCTCAGGCAATCAACTTAACTTGTCTTAGCCTCAATTTCTCACCCACAAAGTGGGCCCCATGAAG